ATACAGGGCCACGTGCCACAGTGACAGGCAAGGGCTGCAGGCTTAGACTGCTCAGGGACGGTGCCTCTAAGAGACCTCGGGACAGGAAGACGCAGTTCATCATGTGACTATCTGAGGACAGAGCATTGCAGAATGAGGAACACACGCAACACTTGTTAGATGAAAATGAGTTTGGTGCATCTCAGGGATGACACGGAATAAACACTTTGGTGAGAACAGAGGAAGGGATGTGAGACTGCTAGGGGTGATCTCAGACTGTACAGGGTTATGTGTACATCTCTATAGGAAGAAGACAGGGCTTATGCTGACTCTCCCATACAAATGGGTAGGAAATTTTGGAAAAAAAACTGAAGGAAAGGACTGAGGTAATATAAAGTAACCACTATAAATAAATCTTTAGAATTGCAAATCAGAAGAGGGTTACTAGAAGAAAAGAGCACTTGTAAGATCGACCTCTCTAGCAGATATGTGAAGCAGAGTGAAGCCCCCAACATGTCCACATTCTCCTTTTAGGGACTTGGGGATGTGCTTCCTGCATGGTAGGAGACACTATAGAAGTCGAAGGTATCGGGAGTGGAGAACATTGTGGGTAAGCCAGCAAGTCTGTCTAAGAGGGAAGCAGAGCTCAGAGTAGCAGTAGTAAATGTCAAGGAATGAGGGCCACTCCACTAGAAATCTAAGAGCCTTGCAGAAGCTGAGAAGGTGAAGGGCATGTCCTCCCCCAGAGGAAACACAATCCTGCTGACACCTTGCTTTTAGCCTAGCAAGCCCTCTGACTTCAAAACCATCAGGTAATAAATTTGTAACATTTTAAGGAACTAATATTTCCCTACAGAACTAAGAAGAAATGAACTCAGGGGAATAATAAAGCTGGGTGTGGTGGTACAGGTCTGTAATCCAAGCACTGGAAAAAATGAGACAGGTGGATCTCAAGTCCAAGGGCAGCCTGCGCAAATTAGTGGGACCCTGTCTCAACAATAAAAAAGGATTCTGGATGAAGCTCAGTGCTAGTGTCTCTGGCTTCAATCTCCAGCACCACAAAAAAGGGAAGAAGAGGAAGAGGAAAGAGGGAGGGTAGATGTGAGCAGGAAAGGAAAATAAAGAAGAATATAAAAGAGAGAAGGGCAAAGTTGGAATGATTCAAATGTTGGGGTCAAAGACTGATAAATTTCAGTTTACAACTATAGATATTAGCTGTCTGGGAGCATAAACCCAAGGTCTTCATCAACAGCGTGATTAAGAGTATGGAAAGGGTTGCGTAACCCTTCCCATGTGAAGAGGTGAACTAAGTTCAGTCTAGGACCATTGGTAATGATACTTGGAAATGACTGTGCAGAGCTAGAAGCCTGCAGACACTATCAAGCAAAAAACCAAGGAGCGTGAAGGGAATCCGCACAGGGTGACATCACAAGATATAACAAAAGAAAGAACACCATGGACAGGGTCAGAGGCTGCTAGAGGGCAAAGCAGGAGTTTAACTCATCCACTCAGTTCCCTGAATGAGTATCTATAGGTGAAAGGTAGCTAAAAGGAAATGGCTCCACAACCTCCAGGAATGGTAGAAAGAAAAGGAAGGGAAAAGGAGAGAAAGGAAGGGGAAGAGAGCAGAAAAGAGGGGAAAGGAAAGGGAAGGGAAGGGAAGGGAAGGGAATGGAAGGGAAGGGAAGGGAAGGGAAGGGAAGGGAAGGGAAGGGAAGGGAAATGCAGTTAAAGAGGAGAGTTGTTGTGACTTGTGTCCAGATGTCTCCCCAAAGCCTTACGTGATTGTGAGACTTTTCATAGGTGCCTGGATCTAGGCTGTGTGATGCTGAGATGCAGGGTGTGCGGCTGCTAAATTAGTCCACTGATTGGTTCGGCATATTTTTGGGTGTGGTAGTGGGCAGGCTCACCTTGGGTGCGAGTGCTACCCACCTGTAGCTTCCATAGAAAATAAAGGACAGAGAGAGGACGTTGTTGCTCTGCTTTACGGCCTGCTGCCTTGATGACTTCCGTCTTCTGCCTGCTCTGGACTGTTTTCCCTCTGTGATGCCACCCTGCCTGAGAGCCAGCCGGCGATGAACTGAAACTGTTACAAACTGAGCCAAAATAAAGTTTTCTTTTAATTTTAGGCGTTGGGTATTTTGTCTCAGCAATGAGAAACAGTAACTAAAACAAAGGTGAAAGATTGATAAGATTGTAGTTTATGTATCTAGAGATAGAAGCTGTGTGGGAGCATGAGCCCAAAGTCTTCTGCCCAAAGGTAAAAATGACTCAGAATACAAGACAGGAGTGAGGAAGTAAAACTGCAGAGGTCAAAGGAAGTCTGACCACATATAAAGACACTAACATACTCAGCAAAATAACTGTAGCACAGGTTATTGAAGTGGGAAACAATCAGAAGTTGAAGTTCTCAGTGAAAAAGGGGTAATTAGAAATTGGGAGAGGGTACCTGTGAAAATTGGTAGAAGGTAGTATAATTCTGTAGAGTGCAACTCAAAAGAGAAAGGGGGTTTGCATGAAGCTCAAACACTACTTGGAAATGACGGTAGACCTAGAAGACATCGCTCCTGGAATAAAAGATTGAGCAACTCTAACTTCACAGTCAAAGAAGGCATAAGTAAAAGTAAAAGAGCTGGGGTGAAAGCCCATGCACTGTGACACCACAGAGCCAAGGGAAGAAATAATCTGATGGACAATGTCAGCCTGATGAGAGACAAGGTGTCATAGTAAAAACGACTCAGCAGACACTGCATAGAAAAGAGTCTTGCTGTCATTAGAAAGACTCACACACAGGTGGGTCTTAGCTACCATCAGGAGCTCCAAATGGTAGCCCATTTGGAGGGGGCTACCACAATGCACACTAATAAGTGTGACCAAACGATTGTACAATGTGTTTATGCCAGACGCTTGCTGACTTTGTAAGTCTGACGTTTGGTACATGCTAGACAGAAAGTGCCTATGGAGTTTCCCCCAGTAAAAATGTTGGGCAATGAGGGTCTGACAAGCTTTACTGATACACAGTGTTTCACACATTGGTGCAACCCCCAGCTGGGGAAAGCAGGTGTTCCCGTGGTTAGCTCCACTGGGAATGTGTGCCTGGTTCCTGCTGGATGTCTTTCTGCGTGACACTTGCCAGTGCAGGTTGTACTTTGTACTCTTTAGTACACAGAGCCATAGTATAGTAGCCAAGAAAACATATCTGAAGTGCAATAACTGCTAATTGAAAACTTTCCCAGTATTAGCTGCCAGCAGGAGGACACTGAACCCTGTTGAATCCTCCTAATATGCCACAGAATCTGGAATTCCTGGACATCTCTGGCACATGGGTACTAGTCGTAGCTAGAAGTGGTTAAGTAATATGAACTGCCAATTAACGTCAACCATGCAACATTAACTTATCTGATGATGTCTTTGTGTTTACAGATTTTACATACATATTAGGTTCACGTTTCAATTTTTTGTATTAACCGTTCAGGAAAAAGATGTGAGGAAAAGTAACCAAAGCACTTTCCCAGAAGGCTCAGAATGAACTGCATCTGTCCTAGCCTGCTACGTGTCCTGAACAAGTTCATACCTGGCCTGAGTTTTGTCATTTGTAAAAGTGTCATGATAATAGCATCTTTGTCACATGGAGTTTTCAGAGTTAAATGACTTTGTACACGAATTACTAAGAACAATTCCTGGCACACTGTGCTTGGTGAATTTTATTATAGTTACCTCACATTCAAACTCTGGATCTGTGTTCCTTTGTGGCTTGTTATACTATATTTTCTAAAGCAAATCCTTAGGTTTAAAAATTTTAACCTTTAATAGCAAAAACTAAAGTCTAGGCCTGGAGGTATAGCTCGGTGATAACAGTGTGTGCTTAGCAGGTGTGAGGCCCCAGGTTCAATCCCCAGCACACATACTCACAAAAACAAACACAAATCTACAAAAGACCAATGTTTTCTTCTCAAAATATTTAAACAAACAAGTCTGATATATTTAAAAAAACCTTTTCTGTGCAAGAACATACTAATCTAAGTAATCTTAAGCCCTGTCACTCGTCTGTTCAAACTGTCCTTCTGTGAATGACTGAGCACTCTGAGAAGTCTGACAGTGCACAGGAAGCAATGTCAGACCAAGTGCGGTGGTAAAGTCACGGCAGCACAGGAAGGTGAAGAGGATGTCAGCTAACCACAGAGTTCTCTGTGCCAAGGTCACAGGGGTGGTTTTCCCTCTCTGCACCCACTTTTATACTCAATTTACTAAAATCTATTTCCGTGATTGCCTAAGCACTTCTCACCATTGAAAAAGATGTCTAATATGTTAATGAGTGAAATAAAGGGGTGTGCTGCACGAGTTAATTGGTTCCCTCGTCCCTAGAACAGTTCACCTAGACAGTTCACTTAAATCCATGTAACTTTATTCACTTAGTAAAAAGGAAGTAAGGATTCAGGTAGAGAGATAGAGCATCAATAACCACCCTCATCTATTAAATCTCTGGGCTACCCCAAGTAGAGCTCAAAGGAAAACTTCTAAGCAACCACCATGGACCTAGAAAATGAAATTAAGGTTTTCAACTACTAGACTTTCAACTTTCAACACAGAGGAAAATGGACATAGACTATGTCCCAGTAATAAATAATCCTCTCCTATCTTTTATTATAATAGAAACTTGAGACTTTGACCTAGAATACGCCAGAATTTCAGAGCCACTTAAGACAGCAAGAAATGTAGCAACTTCTATCAAGATAACAAAGATCATTCCCAGGAAAATACTTTTCTAGGCAACAGACTACAGGCAATATAATTCATCAGAAGAATGCTAAAATATGCATCAGGAGTGATGGTTGTTGGGTTGTAACTCTCATGGCAAGTTATGAGGAGCATTTCACTGGAAATAAGCTAAATCCAATTCATTTTGGATTCCCATTATCATACTCTTTAAGAAACTATCATACAGGTAAAATGTCTCTTTTCCATGAAGTAGAAGTTGAATTTTCAAAATTTTCTGCATAGTAAGTAAATTCAAAACTCACCATTGCAAACATACTGACAGTTGGTTTCTTTTCCTTTTTACTGAAAAAATAAGAAATGAATCATTGAAAATATTAAAAATTACAGAAAAACTTTATATTAACAAAGTAATTTATAGACCATATTATATAAAAACAAAAAACATGCCCATAATATACTATTTGGTAAAAACAATCTATTAGTAAAGTATTATTTATGAACTTTAAATATAAGTAGGTTTACATATATATAAGAAATCTGCATATGTGGTTATTACTAGGTATAAGAATTTCTAGAAAATTATTTTCTTCCTTGTGTCTTAGCTTTTTCTAAATTTTGATGATGAATATACAAAGCGTATCTCTGCTAATTACAAAAATACATGCTAAAAATATTTTCTTATTTTTATTACAAGTGGGAAAATATTCATGGTCCCAGAAATCAATCTGTTTCATTTCCATCAAGGTAATTATTAAGGCTAAGTATTATCCTTAATCTACTAGCCTACTAATGGAGCACAGCTCTTTGGCATCATTAGTTTAAGATAAAAACTAATTAAATCACTTGTGAGAAAATCTAATTTTGAAAGGATGTCTAGAGCCCAAAGAAGACCATTATGGAAATAAATGCTATCTAGAAAAGCCATGACTGAGGAAAGACATTCTGTAAAATGGGGAAAAGTGGCCCTGAGCTATAAAAAGGCCAACTATTATTTGAACCCAGATTCAAATTATTATAATTCAGTAACCCACTGCATGTAACTGTCACCAAAGATGTGAACACAAACTAATCAGAGCCCTCCAGCCTCATTTCCCATACATATAAAAAAAGACCACTTTAGGAAAGAGCAGCACTACTTTCTGCACAGAATTTAAATTCATCTTTGTCTTTGTTGTTTACATTAAATGAGGTCTGAAGAGGTTAAGAGAATTCTAAAGAAAAAAAATTACGGCTTATTCCTTTTGGCTTTGGAGTGATGTTAAATCTATGGAACTGTGCAAGAATTTCAGGTCTAGTGCCAGTCTATTCCTAGTACAGGCATATCCCAGGATCAGAGGGAAACGGCCATAAGTGACTCAGTTTGAGCTCTGAAGCAGTTATTTCACTAGTTTTCTAAAACTGAAGCTATTTTGAAGAGCTTACATTTTAGGCAGCAGCTAAAGAAAGCTCTTCCCGTACATTATTTGTAAACAACTCTGAGAAAGGCACATTTTTGTCCTTTTAGAGATGAGAAAATTTCAGAAGAACAGAGAAAGTTAACTTGTCCAAGGTCCAACGGCTGGAATAAAGATAAGATGTAAACTGCAGAGTCTGCTCCCTGAACAGCAACCAAGCTGTACTGCGTGACCTCCACTTTGTGAGATACTGCGCTGAACTGCGGGGAATATACTTTCACAGGGCTCTCACACCTCCTAGATTTTTTCACTGATCCTCATCAGCAGGAAACACAAAGCCTACAAAGGCAAACTACTTGTCAAATGTCATTCTAACAGGTTTTTTTTTTCAAACACAGATACTCCAGAAAATACTACTCTCCTACCACTGCCTACTAGCATAGCACACTCTTATGCTAAAATATAGTGTTAGTAACAGACTAACATCAGTGGTGATGAAGCCAGCAACAGAGAAACATTTGTGCAGCACACAAGATCCAATGTTGGACCCCAGGATCACAAAAAGGAAATAAGATAAATCATAATGAGCACAATTTAGTAAGTACTTACCAAAAAATCTCTAGTTTGAAAATGTTTGGAGGTCAATTATAAAAATAAAGATACGTGCAGTAACAATCTTCATTACCATTTCCCATTACTTTTCATTTCTAATATTCATTTCAGAGTATTTTAAATTATAAATATGATTACCATTATATTTCTATTATATAGCACCAGTTTAGAAGCCTATTTGGATTCACCTTACATACTATGATAATTTGATAAAAACTTACAAAGAAATGAATCTGATGCTGGCAAAAATTAAAAAATGAGAAAGGAAAGATAAAAGAATTGAGATATATTCTGTACATGTACCAATTCCCCATGAGTGTAATCATTAGGTACTGTGAACATGTACTAATAAAAATAAAAATTTTTAAATATTTTTGGATGCAGGCTGTCTATATGGTGTTGTATACTCAAATCCTATCACACACTGAGTAGCTTCCTGGTCTCTTTCTGCACATAAGTCTTACCATGAGCTGGAAGTGCTAACTGTAAATTTTCTCATGAGAAAATCACATTTTCTTCTTCACATTAGTAAAAATTGTAGAGCTAATTATTAGGTGTAAGTTTTCTCTGAACAGTTTAGGATCAACTGACAGTACATGTCTGAAACAATTATAGTAGACTCTCATATGAACAATTTGGGTTATGACCAGAATTTTAGTGTTAACTTAGGACTAAAGTCTTGTATTATGACCCAAATCTCTGCAGGCTGCGCTTCCAGATGGTCTCAGATACAGATTTAACCCTTGCGGAGTTCTCAAAGGAACATTCCAACATCCTTTCCTGTATGGGGTTAAGTGAGACATCCTGGGCCAGTGTCTCTCTAAGGACACTAAGATCTGCCTGTATATGGGAGAGAGAAAAGGCTGTGTAGAGGAGCTGCAGCCTTCAGTCCACAACTCAAGTTACAAGCAGCCCTCAGAACACACTGAGTGCCTAAATCAAGGGTTCACAGTACAACAGCGCAACTTCCACATGACAGAAGAATTGTTCTGTGAAAATATTCCTTTATTTTCTCTACCTGTCACATTCTTTCAGTTTCCTTTTACTCACAGTATTTTCACAGAAACCTCAATTGTATTGTACTCACTATCTTACAGTAAATTGTGGCTATTATTTTCCTTTATGCTCAGTTTGTCTTGGACTTGGCCAGGATAGACCCCTTCAAGACCCTGCTCCTGCATCCACTCCACTCAAATCCACTTTCTTGCTTTGGGCTTCCTTTGAGACCTGTTTGAAGCCACCTTCTTCTCTGTGGCCGTTTGTCTAAAGAATACTTCTTTCTAATGTCCTTTTTAGTGGACTGAAAAGAAACCATACTTATTTGATTTCTACTTCGTATTTTTTCTTTCACATTGAAAAGCTTGGTTTCTAATTCTAATAATATATTTACTAGCATGTTTTTATCTTACAGTGTACATTACAATTTTCTATTATCAATGAACCTATAAAATTAAAATCTATGTATACTGCGATCAAAATTTACTTAAGAAAAGTATTTCCTCTGTTGCTCTATTAGCAACTGCTTCATTTCCAGCTAAAATGAAATAATAACGATTTCAACGTAGTTTTGGTCTTCTGTATTCTGCATCTCCACAAACACGTCACGTTTATGCAGCTCTGGACCACAGAGCAAAGATCAGGGTCCACGACTAACACTACTCGTAAAGCAGACGATAACGCCTCGCCTGTCTGGGGCCAGAAAACTGCGGAAGACCTCACCAAGACCCAGGGAGGATGGACCAGCTGTACCCAGCGGTCTAAATGATTTCAAATTCAACAACCATTCTCATCGGCCATCGTTTATATCTTCACTAGAACTAGAAACAAACGGCCCCAATCCCTCACGCAATGTAAACTATGAAAGCGAAATAAAGCCGCTACCTCTTCTTTCCCAGCTTCAAGTTCTTCCCCGCTTTTCCACCCGAGTCCTCTTCCTGATCCATGGTGACCTGTGGAGAAACCAGAGCGCAAGCTGCAGGGGTCAGGAGAGACCCTGCGCCCCGCTCCCCCAGCGCCCAGGAGCGAGCGTGCGCCCGCGGACGCTGGGGCAGGACCCCGCCGGGTCCCCGCGGTGCCCTCGCGGCGCCTTCGCACGGGCCGGGCTTTCGCCCTCCACCGCCGCCCGCCGCATCCCGGAGCATTAAAACGATGCGGGCGGCCGGGCGGGAGGGAAGCGCTGCTCGGGAGCCTCCGCGGGGACAGGAGGGCGCGTCCCGCGCCACCCCGGGGCTGCGAGGGGACGTCCCGCACCCTGCACCCCGCACCGTCAGGGGGAGCCCGTCCGGGTCGGGAGCCGCACAGACCCACCTCGGGGAGGGTCCTAACTTCCGCGCACTCAGCTAACCACCAACTCGGGGCTGGGGAAGCGGAGACTCCGAGCTCACCGCGCCTCGCTCGGCGGATGCGCACCGTGCCTGCGCCGTGGGGCCGCCGCCGTCCTCGAGCGCCGGGAAAGGAGCGGACGTGAGCAGTCCCCGCCCTGGGCGGGCCTCCGGCGCTCAGCCAGGCCCCGGGCCGCCCCCGCCCTTGCCAGCTTCCAGGCTGGGGAAGTCGCCCCAAGGTTGGATTTCCGGAGGGGCCTTCTAGTTTCTGTGGCCCCCTCTGCCAGCGAAAGCGGAGAAGCGCGCCTCGCCTGAATCATCAGTGCACAACTCGGGTGCACTCCACAGGTCCACACAGGTTCCCGTCGGTCCAAGTTTATCCAGTGCAGACACAAGAAGACTCCCTGGGTCGCAGGTGGGGAAGGGTGCTCCTGGCGGGCACCACATCTAATACAGTTAATAAAGCAACCCTAGACCTTTCCTTTTTGTAGTAAAACCCTCTTTCCCAGCAGCAGGGAGGAGAGGGCCAGGAGAATCATTCTACAAGTCTGTCATCAATGCACCTGAGAGTTTCTGGGGTAAATCTGTGCAACTTTTAAAATGATAAATAGAAAATTTATAAAGGAAGATTTTTGATATGTGAATCATCGTAGACCTTTCTAGGTAGAAATGGTATTTTAAAGTGTGCAGATTTTGCACCTTTAGCTGTACAATTAACGCCGGTGTTTTTCCTAGGGCATTGCAAAATTCTTACATTTGATGACGGTTTTTAAACACATTTTAGCGTATTATTTTGGTTGATAACAAATGAAAGTGTTTATTTTGGTATCCACAGTTTTCTTCAAAATGATAAAAAAGTAACTTCAGTCTTCATGATTTGGGTTAATATGGCATTACTTCACACTGAGCTGCTGGAGCGCAGCAAGGAGGAAGCAGAAGGCCAGCTAGAAAGTCACTGTGGTCCTCAGGGCAAGTAACAGCAGAGGTGTGAAATGGTATTGATTGACTGACTGATTGGTTTTTACTATTTAAATGTTTGGCTTTTTATATGGCTACTGAGAGTAAAATAACATTTCTGTATTCGGTAGCAGTAATCTGAATAATTGGTCAACTATTTATGGATAAATAAATATACTAAAAGTATGCGTGTGAAGAATGCCGAAGAAGGGTAAGAGCAGACTGAGAAAAAGGTTTTGCTGCTAATGTAGACAAGCAATGAATGTGTATGGTGTTTCAGGCACAGTGTACAGCTTTTTTAAAAAAATGTTAATCCTATGGGTACACTTGATATACATAAAGATCACATGCATCCTAGGGAATTTGTACCTGTGTATAATTTATCTTGATTCTTCTCCCCTCCTCCCCCATTTCCATCGCCTTCCTTCCAGCCTTCTTCCCCTCCTTATTTACAAAAGTCTTGTTTCCATTTTTTCCTTCTATTCTGTTTTTTATTTTCCCTTCCGTCTCCTTTCCTCCCTCCCTCTTTCCCTTTCCCATTTGGACACTGTCTCCCTACTTCTCAGTGTCTGTCACCCATTTTGATCCTTATTTATTCTTTCAGTTTTCCAGACAAACAAAAAGCTGTGACATTGAAACATGTGTCTGAATTATTTCACTTAAAAGTATGGTCTCAAGATGCATCTATGGACTTTAAAATGTCTCAAATTTATCCTCCTTTATGGCAAAGTAGTATTCGATTGTATATAACAGCCATATCATCTTTATCCATTCATTGATTGATGGACATTTGAGCTGTTTCCAAGATTTAACTATTACAAATTGTGCTGCTATAAACATAGGCTTGCATATTCACTGTGGTAAGATGCTTTTAACTCTTTCAAAAAGAGATACCAAGAAGGGGATTAACTGGGTGAAAGGAAACCTCCAATTTTAGTTTTTTTGAGAAATCTACATACCTATTTCCATATTGGTTGTACCAACTTTACACTCCCACCAACAGCGGAGATTTCGTTTTTCCCAACAGCCTTGCCAGCATTTCTTATGGGGTGAGTTCATGATGATAGCAGCCCTTTCTGGAGTAAAATGGAATATGAGTTTGTTAATTTGCATCTCTCCAATGACCAGAGGCACTGGACACTTTTTCATATATCTATTTGCTGTTTGTACTTCTGCTGAAAAGTATCTATTCATTTCGGATGCCCATTCTGGATTGAGTCTTTAAATTTGGGGAATCTGATTTTTTTAAAGGTCTTTATATATTCTAGATATTAGTCCTTTGAGGAATAGCTGGTAAAATATTTTCCCCATTCTGTGGTTTGCATCTTCACTCTGTTGGTGGTTTCTTTTGCTATGAGAAAGCTTTTTAATATGGTGGGCCCATTTTCTCTTTCTTTGTTCTTTATTTTTCTTTCTATACAGTCTTGCTATATATTCTAGGTAGACTTTAAACATACTATGTGGCCTGCAGCTTCACTTTAGAATTTGCTTGAAGAGAGCTCATTGACCACATTGCTACTCCCTTTGTTTAAGAGCTGGTGGGCAAACCTGCACAAGTTACTGATGAGGAGCAAGTATGGAATGGGCATGCCTGGTAAAGGAGTAAGGATGAGCTCAGGGATGGGATACAGGCCGCCTTGGGTTAGATGTGGTATTGGAGTTCTATATGGTCCTAGAAGTGGACCATCACAGTGTTGGTACCTCTGCTGGCGTTAGGTACATTTGAATTGTGAAAGGCTGGTGCAGTTTGGTAAATTTCACTAAAAAGATAAGAAGTATGAAATAAAAGTGGCCTTTATTTTAAGAATGTGGAGAGAGACTCCATGACCTCCGGGGTCTGGCATTCTCTCCGCCCCACCCGTGGTGTGGGGGCATACGTGTAGCTTAGGTTTGGGGTGGAGCCTAAGGGGAATTACTGATGCATAGGTAGCCCATTGGAATTCATTTCGTGCCATAGATACATTGCTTAGGAGCAGGAAAGGTGACCTTCAAGATACAGCCCCTTGGTTCCGCTTCCCAGCCTCCCACTGGCTACAGTATCCCATCTGGGGCAAAATTCTTTCAACCAGGATAGCCTCCTGTATTTCTGTAGCCTGAGGCAGGAAGATTCCAGGAGTCCCACATAAGCAAGAACATAACAGGACTGTATCTCAAAAAGAAGTCATTTTCCAATTGCTATCTTTCAGGAATATATTTATTTGTTTGTTTGTTTTAATAGAGTATGATAATGGCTCAGAAACCAAAACTTTGATGAACCTGTGATCCTCAAGTGGAGACTTCCATATAAAAGAGACATCCAGCAGCCTTGCTGTTTAAGTGAGAAAGCACTGAGATAAGACAAAATGTGGTCTCATCTGAGCAAAATCACAGCACATTAGTGCAAAAGCATCTATTTTGATTTTGGTCTCTCTCCTAAGCACAGTATGGCTCCACATCTGAGGCTGCACAGTTCTCTGGCCTATCATCAGGAACTTACTTTAAGCAAGAAATAGAGCTTCCAATCACACACTGTAAAACCCAGGTCAGTAGGGGAACTCTAATGACATTTTGCATTCTAAGTACTGCAAAATCATCATGGAGCAACAATTTCTTTACAGAATAATATTTTCTGTGTAACCTACTTTCCTGTCCTACTTATAGAATAGAGAAAAGTGTATCATTTGAATACATCTAGTAAATATGAATTTAATTATTCTAACTTGGGGTGTAAATAAAACTAAAAAGTTATATTCTCAACCCTCCCAAAATAATCTTTTAAAATTGTTGAATACATGTGGCTGTTAACTAGAGTTCAACAATTTGGTGAAAATGCCTAAATACAAAAAGTGCTGCAAAGGAAGAAAAAGGGGCTTAACAGTTTAGGTAGCCTCTTGAAAATCAAAAACTAACAGCATTTGACTGCACCTTGAAATTTTTATAAGCAAAATATTCTTAGCAATGGCATGGCACATAGTCCACAACTGACAGATTTCATAAACATTTTCTATACAATGTATATAAATACACGTCACGATAATGTAATTTGAATTAACATAGAATATGTACAAAACGAACAAGGTTTAGCTTTAGACCAAAAACTTATTGCTATTTGTTGAAAAATAACTTGATTCGATTTTTTATCCTCACACTAATTTACATTTATACAAATTTTAATTAAGCATACTAGATTGATGTGCTAAGAATGTCCACACTACCTACATTTTAAGTTACTGCACCAGCCCTGCTCTCCCACCAAGCATTATAGGACACGGGACCCTCAGCAGCTCACAAGCCAAGCCGAGCCCACCCCTTCAGTGCCCCTGCATCCAACCAAGTGCCCTGGGACACAAGACTCCCAGCAGTGTGCAAGGTTGGGGGCGCTGAGCCCACCCCTTCCCTGTTCCCACCATCCCCACTGTGTGTTGCAGGACACAGGACCTCCAGCAGCATGCAGGGACCTCCAGCAGCATGCAGGGACCTCCAGCAGCGTGCAGGGCTAGGCTGAGCCAGCCTCTTCTGCTCCCCTGCCTTCCCACCGCTGCCCTCTGGGACCCCCAACCTCCTGGATCTACTATTACTGTTGATCTTCGGCTCCCACTCTTCCACCCAGAGCTTTGGACTGCAGAGGATCAAACACGCTGTGTTACTGAGAGACTCAGTAACCCCTCATCCAAACAGAAGACCTCAGTGGGCTTCCATCAGTGTAGTGAGACTGACCCTAAAATTGGAGTATAGTTTGCCTCCTTCATTGGATAAACAGGAGCAATAGCCAAGCCCCTTCCAGAACTAGAACCTTGGTGAGCTGGGCAAGAGTGTAGGTCAGTCCTTCCTCCATACAGAGAACATCAGGTAGGTTGAGGGGAGTGCCAATAAGGCCTCCCCCAACCTGGAGATAATTAAAAGGGCTTATGAGACACCCAGTGACATAGTAGGATCCCAGCAGAGACACTATAGGCAGGGAGATCTGGTGACCTGGAACAACTTGAAGATGTAGTAACAGCAGGAACTAAGGGTTGACTTACATCAGTATACCTAGGTTTGACAGCCTAGGAAGAATATAGGACCCACCCAACAGTCCATGCAGGAGGAATTCAGGTGGCTTTCCCACCTCTTCATTGTGGCACCCAGCAGTTGGACAAACATCAATCACACAATAGGACTCTAAGATACACACTACCAATAGGTGAGACTAGTGGGACTGAAAGACCAAATATTAGCCCAAAAGGTGAAAATGACAAAATAAAAAAGCAAAATCCAATCTCAAACATCCAGTCCATCAAGAGCAAGTAAAGGAGACATTGAAATAGAGGTCTTTACAAGTCACACACAGGAAATCTCTGAAAACATAGTGAGTGAAATAAAAAAGACAA